GTTTTAATTTAGCCCTGGGACTTCTGCTCAATGACTGTGCTGGATGAAACACCCCAAAGCCACAAATTTTGAGCTTGACAATGGGCTTGTCTGCCACGAAGCTTTGAAGAACCTGTTGCTGTTTGTATTGTGTCACGTGAGCCAAAGATAAATGTAGTTCTGACTAAGGTGACCAGTTGCAAGGGAGGGCATAGCTTCTGTCTTTCACAGTTTCATGGACATGGTAGAATTTCCTTGTCTACATACTTAATAAAGGAACAGAACATAAAAAGAGTAAGCCCTGCTGAATCAGATCAGTGGTTCTTCTGATGTAGGATCCTGTTCCCCAGAGTGGTCAGTAAGATGCCACTGGGAAGCCCACAAACATCAGCCTTCAGATGCTGACTGCTCCCTAGCATCTGCCAGTTGGGGTCCTGCAGCCTCAGAACATGGTGGCCTTGTTTGGTTACCATTGTGAATAGGCACTGATCGACCTCTTCTCCATAGACCTTTCCACCATCCTGTTTTTCACAGTGGCTTCCAAGCAAGGCTCAGAGAGAGCAAAGCCTCCCCTTGTTGTTGCACATAGCAAATGGTGTTCAGGGGAGCATTGCTCCTGAGTGTGGCAGTTGTCCTCTGTAAGTCATCCTAGCTCTGTGACGAAGCAACTGTCTCTTGAGAGCCAGTTTGGTGTAGTGGTTAAGTGTGCGGACTCTAATCTGAGAGAACTGGGTTTGATTCCCCACTCCTCCACTTGTACCTGCTGATGTGACCTTGGGTCAGTCACAAGCTCTGGCACAGCTGTCCTTGAAAAAGAGCAGTTTGTGTCAGAGTTCTCTCAGCCCCACCTACTTCACAGGGTGTTGTGGGGAGGGGAAGGGAAAGGAGTTTGTAAGCCAATCTGAGACTCCCAAGTGAAGGGCGGGGTATAAATCCAATCTCTTCTTCTCCTTGAGGGAATTCTAGCTGCTGTCGAACTAAAGCTGCCCACTTTTTTCAGCAGTGGAAAAAATTTAATACAAGCAAATAGTAAGGCTATTTTATTTTTATTTTTTTGCATTGGCTTTCTAGTACTGTATAGACTTTCAAAGTACAGCTTCAAAGGCTATAATGCTAAAAATACTTCGGGAATTACTTTACCTGAAACTCTCTTTTACCTTGATTGAAATCAGTAGGTGAACATCATCTATAAGTCAGCCTTAAACCTTTACTCTTTGTTTGGGAAGTGGGAATCTGTAGATCTTAATCCCAAGTATTTCACAGCTAGACTTCTGCTCTGCTACAACACAGTCTCTTCACTGCATGGTAAACTCTAAAAAGCTAAGTAAAACAGTAAAAGAAAAGATGTGGGGACGTTCTTGGAATGGGAGAAGGGAACATTTGGGAGTGGTTGCATTGCAGAACACCTGAGACCACGTGACCTAATGATAAGCAATAAAATATGATGACTGCTAGTCTTATTGAACTGGCTGACAGTGACATCCTCAGCACATTTACGCCCTTCTAAGCCCATTGACTTCAGTGGACTTAGAAGGGCGTAACTGCTTCGGCCTCGTGAATCTGGTACCAAACATATTTAGTTTTATCACAAGTCGCCTCAGATATAGTTACATAAATATTTCAAATAAATAAAATCTTACACACCATGTTTCAGAGGTTCAGGGCAAACATGAGAGCCAGTTAGAGTTGTGAGCTCTCTGTGATAACCTGACCTCCACACTCTTGGCGCCTTTTTGACTTAGAGTGACCCAGCAACAGGGAAACTCTAACACAGAAGCTTTGTGGCTACGGTGAATCATTTAGGCTGCAGTCCTAAACACGTTTACTCAGAAGTAAGTCCACTAAGCTGAACCTGAGCTTACTTCCGAGGAAGCAAGTTTAGGATTGTACTGTTTGCATTTAAAAGAGGAAACTGAAGTCTGCCTGCCAAGTAGCTGACACATTATTACCAATGTAATCTCTGATTATCTGGGGGCAGTGCCATTGGGTAGGGGGCTCCTCTGTACGTAACATAATGGCAGAACATCTAGAATTTGTTAGCTGTTTCATATTTTGTGCCAATTTTAGTAAAGCATTCTTCAGTGGCTGCCAATGTTCCCTCTAAGCTGTGGAGTCTTGTGAGCAAAAATCCTACTTAGTGAGCTACTGGCATTAAGGTTGTGAGTGAGCGATTTGGCTACTGCATAAATTAGGTTGCTCTGGAGCCATCCCTTCCTGAGCTAAGACAAAACCGTGTGAGCTGGAGGCTAAAAAACTGTGAGCAAGCTCACACTAACTCAGCTTAGAGGGAACACTGGTGGCTGCCGATAACCTGGGAAGAAATAATTGCCAACTTAAAAAGAACAACAACAAACTAGTTCTGGGGACTGTACAGATGGTGGCATTTAAGGGCTTTGAGCTCTATCTGAGTGCAAGGTATCTGATGCTTGCAGTTGGCTTCCAGTGACTGCGGTTAGAAAAGAGGCTCATTTCCTTGTGGCAGTCCTACTGATCTTTTATGAATATGTGCAGAAACTCTTTACCTGACAGTAGGCAAAGGTAGCCTGTATAGATAAGCAGTTCATTTAAAAAAAAGAAAAGAATTTGAATACCAAATTGATGCTTCCAATCTTCGTATTGGGTGGCCTTGAACTACTTCAGTTCTTGATAGGTACATGGGAAAAATCCTCTAATAAACAGGATGGCTTGCAAACACTTAAAGTGTTACCTAAACGTCGAGGGGGATGGTGCATATGCATGAAAATAAAGCAGGTCCTGCCCTTACAGGTATAGATCAGTTTTGGGTTGCTGCAGGGCAACTTTGACCAGAAAGGGATATACGCCACCTGCTTCATTCACTTTAAACACCTTTTCTAATAATACACTAAATTGTTGGTGGAGGGAAACAACTTCAATACCCTTATTTAACAGTCCAAATCTTGGGTATGCAGCTGTACACTGAAGTTAAGAGTGCAGCATGAGAACCTAGATCAGCCGGTTCTTATGAGAATTGGCAGTGGGTCAAGCTGTACATTAGCATACCATGCCTCACGCACTTTGGAGTGTGTGGTATAATGTGTGTGTGTTCATAAGCCTGACATATACTAACTACACCAATGTACTTGTAATACCTGTATAACCACTTCTATAGAAGAAGTTTTACTTATAGCTGATAACATTGAGGCCTTCTGTATCAGAGAAGATGGCTTCAGTGGGAAAACTAGGTGCCTGGGGAAATTGTAAAGACATCTAGCACTGTTCTAAGTTGATTGCAGGGCCTGAGGAGAAGGGGCTTTTAAGAGAACCTTGCTGGACTTCTGATATGCAGGGCCAATAGTTGATCACATAAAGTTGCTGTATACAATAATCAAGGTCAGTATTGTCCATTGGCATCTCTCCAGATTCTTTGATGGACATCTTTCACGTCACCTACTACTTGATCCTTTTAACTGGAGAGGCCAGTAGTAGTTCAGTGGCAGGGTGTTGCTGTGCATAAAGTCTTGCTTTAAGTCCTCTACGTCTCCAGTTTAGAGCACCTTGAGTAGCAAGACTAAGAAAGACAGGCTTTGGGACTTGAGATCTCTTGTCTCAGATGAGGAGATACTGCCCTTGAAAAGCCAGGTTTGCAGCTTAGGAGTGCTACTTGACAGAGCAGTCACCTTAGAAAACCTGGTGGCTTGGAGTGCTTTTGCCCAGCTTCAGTCGGTGTCACGTGTGCCCGTCCCTGGGTCAGTCAGATCTAGCCACAGTGGTCCAAGCCTTAGCTATATCTAGACTGGACCCTTGTAATGTGCTCTATTCTTGAAGAGTGTTGGAAGCTGCAGCTAGTGCAGAGTGCTGCTGCTGGACTGCTGGTCAGGACCAGCTACTGGGAGCATGTGACCACAATATTATAGCAATTACCCTGGCTACTGAAGGACTCTACAGTAATAGGATATGCATGAAGGACTCTACAGTAACAGAATCTGCATAAACTCATAACATACCCTCTTGGTTATGGCAACAGATGTCTATCAGGATTTTAAAACACACACACACAACCCCCCCAAAAACTCCAGAATTGATTTGAGCAGCTCTTATCCCGCTTAAAACTTGACCACAGTGATTGCTCAGTGGACTACACAGAAGTGATGCTGTAATGACAGTCTGCAGTTGAAGGAGCTATATATGTATGTGTGCACATGGCCAGTTATTGTCGTGCATGCTACCGACTCTTCCATCATGCAGTAAAGCACTGTTCATTGGAAGAGTTCAAAGGCACTTATGGATAGTTAATATGAAGCATGCATAAAGTGTGCTATGGATAGTTAATATGAAGCATGCATAAAGTGTGCTTTTGTCACATACCACATTATTGTGCCAAAACTCCACTACACAAAGATCAAGTGAATGTCAACCAGTTTCAAGAAAGGTGAAGGGTGTGACCATAGCAAAGAAATAGCTGGTCAACACTCACCTACTCCTGATATAGTACAATTTTTACACAATAAGGTGGTGTGATATATACACATACATGCTCAGTATAGAACATGAGGGACATGCAGGTGTGTGCTTTAATAGCTGAGGGGTGACAATGGATTTGGAGTTAGGGGAAGATGGATAACATTGGAAACACTCTAGAGCTTTCATCCAGTACAGCCTGTGCATCTACATGTCCTTATGATTGTAGAGACTGTAATGGAAACTGAAATTTAGGCGGGAGGTGAGTCTGAAGAAGCAGCCTTGATTGTCAAGGCTGAAATGAAGGGATACTTGGTATATTAATAGGAGGCGCAAAAAAAGTTGTGGCATGGTGATTCAGGTAGGCATTTGCTAGTTGGAAGGGAGTTTTGGAAGAATCCCATGAGATGGCTTCTTACTCAGAGGGCAACAGTTTTTATACACAGTACGCTGCAGGAAAAACAAATGGGAGAGGTGATGGAGGATTCAAGTAGTTATACCTGCTGTTACAACTTGGGGAAATTGTTTTACTTTGATGGTATGAAAACTGAATACCTTCTGTAAAATAAGCTTCAGTATATTTATTCTATTTTATCTCCCAGGTCATTGCTATCGTTATGGATTCCTTCACAGATATGGACATCTTCTATGACCTCCACGATGCCTGTAGAAAGAGGCTGGTTCCTGTTTACATCCTTTTGGATCAGGCCTTTCTCTGTCACTTCATGGAAATGTGCAAAAATCTGGAATTCTCTCCTGAACAGGAATATGTAAGTTGACAAATCCCTCTATTTGATTAGAGGGGGAAATGGGTTTAACCTAGGTCACCTGATAACCAAGTTATGAGTTTTGCCACCATTTTCCCTTGTGGGCCTCTGCATATGTAATCTGCACAGACCTAATAGAAACTTCTAGAGCTTTGAATGTGAGATAATCATTGCCATTCCTTTGGCTAGCATTTTTGGTGCCTTGCTTGCTTAGTTTTGTTTTTGACATTGTAGGGAAGGTCATCTTGGAGCTAAAATATTCTTCTCTTTTTCTTGGACATGTCCTTTGGGGGAGAGGAAAGAAAGGGTGGAGAGGAAGGAACCAAGCTAGATGGAAACTATTGCTGCCCTCAACCATAGGCCTGGCAGAACATCTCTGTCTCACAGGCCCTGTGGAACTGAGCTAGGTCCCGCAAGGCATGAATATTGTTTGGAAGAGAGTTCCACCAGGTTGGCTTCAGGGCCCAAAAAGCCCTGGCTCTGGTTGAGGATAGCTGGATGTTTTTCAGGCCAGGGATCACTAGTAGGTTCTTTTCCCCTGAGCGTAATGCTCTTCGGGGGGTATACCAGGAGAGGCAGTCCCATAGAGATGTTGGTCCCAGACCATTTAGGGCCTTAAAGATTAATACCAAAACCTTGAATCTGAATTCAGTTTGGAGAGAGGAGTTAGACAAGGTTGTTTACTGGCTCCCCTGCTTTCCAGTTTATGCTTAAATGACTTTGCTTTAAATTTCAGCAAATCTTGCCGTTCCCCTAAACTCATTAACACCAGTGTCCCTATTTTACTTTATGCGGATGATGCTGTTATTTTATGACGTACAAGGATTGGCCTGTGAGGAATCTGAAGCACTAGAATATGGCTAGAAGATAGCATTAGCAGAACATTTTGGTGGTATCTTGCATCTGTACCTTGCCATGTAAGAGCTCTCCTATGTTATCCTGCACATGGGTCACAAAAGAGAAAACAGAGTTGTAATAACTTGTTAAAATCACTTCCTGCAATCATGTCTGTCTCCCTTTCCTGCTTAGGTTTTTCTTTTAAACCATGTAACTGGTATGCAGCAAAGCATTAATTCCCATAAGTGCACAAATTTGATTTCTAGTGATTTGCTTTAGGCTATAAATCTAGGAATTCCATGGGAAGGCCTGGCAAGTTGTCCATAAGGTTATTACAACATAACTCATGGTTTCACCTCCTCTGTTATTCATGTTGGGGAAGAGAATATAGTCTAGTGATAGACAGTGTTCCCTCTAAGCTGAGTTTGTGTGAGCTAGCTCACAGATTTTTAGCCTCTGGCTCACACATTTATGCCTTCGCTCAGGAAGGAGGGCTCCAGAGCAAACTAACTGATGCAATAGCCAGATCGCTGGCTCAAAACTTGAATGCCAGTAGCTCACAAAGTAGAATTTTTGCTCACAGGACTCCATAGCTTAGAGGGAACATTGGTGCTAGAGCAGCTGCTTTGTTTGCAAAAGGTCCCAGTTTCAATACCCAGCATTTCCAGTCAAAGGGTTGGATAGTTAATATGAAAGTCTTCACCTAAGACCCTGGAGAGCCACTACTAGACTATGCTGACCTTGATAGACCCATGGTCTAACTTTAAATAACATGGCTTGAGATGTTCCAGGAAGAGACTTAACTGAAAGATCTGTCTACTACATAATATTAATTGGTATCCACTATATTGTTTCCTCATCAGGGATGGTACGCAGCATTGGTTTACTTAGTCCAAACCAGTGATGGCATATGTTATACAGATTCTTTCAAATATGCCGTTTGTCTACTGATAATCCTAAGCCTATAACTATTGGGAAATAGTACTTGAATTCTGACACTGAAGCCAAAACACTGAAAGAAGGAAGGAGTGTAAAGGTCCCAAATGAAAATAGGCTTGTACCAGCCAACAGTCTGGTCCATAATATTTCCTTGTTGATTTTGCTAAAATGTCTCCCATTCTGCAAACAGCTAATGAGAGTCCGAACTATTGCTGGGAACACTTATTATGCAAGATCAGGAGCAAAAATAATTGGGAGTGTCCATGAGAAGTTCATGCTAATTGATGGCATCAAAGTAACTACAGGCTCCTACAGGTAAGTAACATGATGCCTTTTGTACTACATACAATTCTGCATTAAACACTGTGAGAACTAGTCTTGCAGTGTTATCATAAACAGAGTTATGCCCTTCTAAGTCCACTGACGTCAAAGGGTTAGAATGGTGTAACTCTGCTTCAGATGGCACTATTGGATGCCTGAAGTCAGCCATCGCCTCAACAGCTCAGTCTTGAAACTGACCATATCTCTTGGCCCTATGTTACCCATTTTAAAATGGTAATATACCTTATGGCCCAAATACAGTAGATGCATTTCCCTGCATGGCAGTGCAGTAAGGAAATTGCATCTGTTGGGTAATACTGGAATTCAGTCAGTTATTAAATCCTACAGACCCTCAAGGGAGGCAGCACGATTAGAAAAGTGAAAAAGTGAAAGCAATTTTGCACATTGGTGGAATGGATTCTTATAAATGCCTTCTACCACAATGGAATACAGTCCCGTTACAGTACTAAAGGGAACTGACTGTCAATCTAGGCACCAATGCACAGCTTGTAGGGCTTTCACGATATATAAGCTGCTCTTTCCCCCCTAGAGAATGGTCCAGAGGTGGCTTACAAATTCCAGAAGTTTGTTTACATTTATACTTCACCTTTCTCTGCAATGGGGATTAAAATGGCTTGCATCATTCTCCTATCCTTCATTTTATCCTCACAACACACCTGTGAGGTAGGCTAGGAAGAGTGTGTGTGACTGACTTAAGGTCATCCAGCAAGCTTCCATTGGAGAGTGTTTGTTTGACTAGGATCTGGTAGAACCTGTAATCATCTCTGTTTGTCCCCCTCCCCCATTTTTGACTTGAACAATGCCATGTGGCGCTAGACTGTTAGGTAGTTCATCCAGCTCAGTGGCAGAGCCATCTATCTAGCATGCAGAAAGTCCCAAGTTCAGTCCCTGGCATTAAAAGCATCAGGTAGGAGATGATGTGAAAGCTGTCTACTTGAGTCCCTTGGAAACTGCTGTCAGTCTGCGTAGATAATATTGACCTTGATGGACTAATGCTCTGACTGCATTTAGGACATCCATGTCTAACATTCCTAAGATTTTACATGAGTTTACTGATATGGAAACTCTTTTGAGTTTTGCAGTTTTTCATGTAGGCAAATGTTTGCTGATCGATGGATAAAAAATCTTGGGTGCCTATGCCCTTAAATGGGCTGATGCCAAGTAATTATCTGGGAAGCTCAGCGTAAGACGGACGTATTAAAAGAAATCTTGATAAACTCTTGTAGCAGTTGCAAGTGTTTCTCCATCCCTGGAGTCAGTTGTTCTACACATGCTGGTAAATAGGGTGGGTGTGGATTTGGAGTTCAAACCACAGACTTATTAAATGTTCCTGGTTGAGTCATATTCTCAGCCTTAGTTCATTGCCTACAAACTGGGAAGGATGGCTATCTACTTTGCAGGGTAACAAATCACAGAACCCCATCTCCCTTATAAATAAAAGCCGAATGGTGGTGGCACTTCTCTAGAACATTCCACACGCTCCAAAATCAGTTCACTCTCTGATCGGTCATTCAGAGGGTCTCCCTATCCACTGGCTGCTTTGCCTGAGTCCTGCCTCCAACGTTCTAAACATTTTGCTAATCCTCTCCCTCCCATAGCCAGTCAGAACACAGAGGTTATTTGCATATGCAGCCTCATTGGCCTCTGCCTCGGAACACAGAGGTCGTTTGCCTATGCGACTTGATTGGCTTTTGCCTCTAACATTCTAAATAGTTTTGCTGTTCTGAGGTAAAATGTGTCCAATCTCCAGGTGAGGTCTGGAGATCACTCAGAATTACAACTGCTTTCCAGATGGCAGAGATCAGTTCCCCTGGAGAAAATGGTGGGCTCTGTATCCTTATATGCTGCTGAGATGGCCCCCGTATGACAGCAAATGTGACGTAGCAGTCAGGGCTTCAGAGCATGGGAGAGGCTGCAGGTGTGTGGGAGGTGGAAAGGTGAAGAGTGAGGGGGAAATAAAGGTAGGTTGATGATTGGCTGGGAAGAAGATTGGGGTGCCAACTCCAGGTGGGAAATTCCTGGAAATGTGAGGGATGGAGCCTGGAGAGGGTGAGGTTTCAGGAGGCGTGGGGCCTCGGAAACCAACTATTCCCTTCTGGGGAACCATCATTGCCAATCTCCAGGTGAGGGCTAGAGATCACTCAAAATTACAACTGTTCTTTAGGTAGCAGAGATCAGTTCCTCTGGAGAAAATGGTGGACTCAGTGTCATTATACCCTGCTGAGGTCGCCACAGCAAATTGACACTGAGTGTCCAAGGCCGGGGCACCCGCCCAGAGCCTCTTTCTAGAGGTCGTTGTATTTATTTCCACAACGGGCCTTTTTCCTAGTTTTATATAAACACCATCTTACCAATGTAGCAGTGAAAATACACATCACATTCTCCAAATATTATGTGGTACAACTTGGGGTGCATCTGCTACTGCAACACTTAGGTGCTCAGCTTTGGGATTGGTGTATTGTACTGTGGAATATGGTGCTTCAGTGTGGCTCAACAGCCCCCATGTCCACAAACTTGATGTCCAACTCAACAATGAGAACCATCAGTGGAGGTATTAAACCTACTCTGGCCTATTGGCTACCCACGTTGTGCCACATCACTCCCCCACATCTCAGAAGATGCTCTTCGTGGATATAGAATGATAATTGAAAACAGAGAGTTGCCTACCCACAAATTCACAGGAATGTGAGCATCATGCTTTCCGGGGAGATGTGACGGCGCTCTTTGAACTCTCTCTAGCTGCAATTGAGTGGATTGAAAATCTAGATATTAGTATTTAGGGAGGTTGCCCAGTTGATCTGAATATCCGTTGTATCAACTTGGTTACATATTTTATATTATGATAAACGTCCTGTGTGTAACTCTGCCATGTGATAAATAAATAAATTCTTGTTATTGGTTAAAAAATATTTATATCCTGTGTTTCCTTTCTGAAAACAGAGGCTCAAAACAGTTTACAAAACATGCAGAAGTACATACAAAATTAGTTTAAAAGCCACAACACACTACAGACTATAAACCACCAACGTACCAACAAAACGGCCGCCAGTAGATAGAGAACTCATAGAAGCTCTCCAAAACTGTGCTGTCTTGCAGCATCTTCTAAAAGTCAGCTCAGATGAGTCTCTCTTTGCCATCTCTGATCATCTGTTAACTTTGAAAAGTTAATGGTTATGACTAATGCTCTGGTTTGTCATAGCGAGATATTAATTCTTATTTTCTTTCCCTTTGTAGTTTCACATGGACTGATGGAAAGCTGAACAGCAGTAACCTGTTGGTGCTCTCAGGCCAGGTGGTCGAACATTTCGATCTGGAGTTCCGAATCCTTTACGCACAATCAAAACCTATTAATCCAAAGCTGCCATCCAGCTGTAAGGACACTGGTGCTCTTGATCACCTGACAAATAGGACAACACCATGTAGAGACTTCACTGTGGGTAACCTTTTGAGAGCAGAATTTGCCAGGCTCTCGAGCTCTCCCAAACAGCTTGAGAGAGAAGTAGCTAAAGGAGGCAGGGTGAGTGCAAAACGACCACACCTTAGTGGGTCCTCTGCTGGAGATGAAGAGTGCATTTCGAATGGTCCCGAAACTCTAGAAATAGCTAAAGAGAGAAAAAGTCAATCGACACAGACTGAACCCTTTGAGAAGCCCACAGTGACTTTAGTTAATTCTGACACACAAACCATTGCTTCAGTGGCCACAGCAGGCACTCAAACCACTGCTCGATCAAGAATGGTGGGTACTCAGACGGTAGTTATGTTGAAGACAGTCACGACACAGACTGGCAACAGTGAAGCTACAGAAGTGGCCCTGGATCAGAGGGTACCCAATCAGAAAGTGCATGTTCAGTGGATACCCGATCAGAAAGTACATGTTCAGAGGATACCACCTAAAGAAGCATCTCCGGTTTACAGGAAGTCTACTTCTTCTAAAGAAGCATCTCCTGTTTACAGGAAGTCCACCTCCACTTCTTCCAGTGCACGGTCTCTTTCTTCCTTGTCCTCCCAGTGTTCGCGAGCAAGTTCCGTCGGCTCACTAACATCTCTTAGGTCCCTGGACTACCCTTGCAGCCACCGAGCAGATTATTTCCGCAAGCTAAACAAGGAGAGGGAATTCCACTACTCTGTCATCCGGTCCAAGCTTAACCACATGGTTTCCATGCTGTCTAGAAGGGGTAATGTGGCTGAAAACTACTGCCGGCCAGTGAGGTGCAATGTAAAACCTAGACGGCAGATCAGCACCAGCCTAATAAACCTCAGAGATTTTGCACTGTATTCGTCAAATGACTTTTTCTAAGCAGTGGCTTGTGAGTGGTGGTATGCACAGAGCTGCTTCAGTCACCAGCCATTTTGGACACTTCTGAATTGACATTTAGAATAATCACTTGCATGGCAAGGTGGACACATGGTTTGCGATACTAAAATCATACCATAGGGAACAAAGAGGTTTCCATGTAGTTTATGCTTTGCGTGCATCAACCCTAAGAGCTGCATTTTCTTTGTACTTAAGTAATTTTAATTCTGTAGTCTTGTACCTTTTTCAACAAACAAATTAACATTGTCTTCTGGTGCTTTGTCTAGTTGAGTCGATGCTTGTCAATGCACTGAAATACTGGTAAGTTGTTTTTTTTTTTAAATAAAAATCCTACAAGTGCCTCCTATTTTGTTTGTGTCTTTCAATATTTAGGCACCCTAAAATGAATTTTAACTGAGAGTACAACTTGTGGTATAATCGATGGATTATTAAGCAGTAGCTAACAAAAGGTGCCATTTATACAACTTCCAATAAAATCTATACAACTTCCAATTAAAATGTGATGAGTCCCCACATTGTGTCCTGTTGGTTATTATTGCCTGTTTCTTGTTGGTTATTATTGTCTGTTTCTTACGGTTGTGTATGTTGTGTTGATAAAGCCAAGCTTTTATTTGTAAATAAAGTATTAGCCAAAAAAGTTGAAGGTGCTCTAAGGCTTGTACATGGTTCAAATTTGGCTTGCTTATTTTAGGTGGAGTCTGCATTGTTCAATTATTATTGAAGCAAAAAAGTGCTAAAAGGTGTGACTTCTGTGATTTTATGCATATATGAGTGCTGTCAAGTCGCAACTGACTTATGGTGATCTCAGCCAGGGGCTTTCAAGGCAAGTGAGAAGCAGAGGTGGTTCCCCATTGCCTTCCTCTGCAGAGCCTTCCTTGGTGGTCTCCCATCCAAGTACCAACCTTGCTTAGCTTCTGAGATCTGATGAGATCAGGTTATACCATGCCACCTTCCCTCTCAATCCATACATACATGCGGGCAAAAATTCCTTAATTCTCCAAGAGAACTTGCTAGGCATTGCCATCCCTAAAACCTGCAGAAGTCAGAATGATGCAAACAGCTCTGCAATGTGTGGACATTCCTGGAAACCTTATACAGCCGTGCAACTATTTCCCAAGATTTCATAAAATTTTAAGCATACTTTTGAAAATGTAAGGACTAGAAATTTGCTTTTTGTAGTCACATGGAAGATACAGAAAGCTGAATCTTGTGCCAAGCCTTACATTCCATGTGGGGTTCTATGCCTGTGGTGTTACAGGTGTGTGTAAGGGTTAGGAGCATGGACTCTAATCTGGGAGGACCAGGTTTGATTCTTCCTGTCCTCCAAAATGTAGTTTCTTTAGTGTTACATTTTTTCCACCCAAGGTTGTTTTCCCCAAGTGGGAAGGCTCATGCCTTCACTGAAGTCATAAACAACTGAGTAGACTTACAATGGAGTTCTGCAACCCATTGGACTCCCCAGATTTCAAAACTGCAAAGGACATCTGTGACAGTGTGGCAACTGAAGTTCAGTGTTGGTAAATTGACTCTAAAGTGATGCATATTGGGATAAAAAAAAAATCCCAACTTCAGGTGTAGGCTAATAGGGTCTGAAGTTGCTGAGACGGAGGGGAAAAGATCTTGGGGTCATAGTGGATAACTCGATGAAAGTCTCAACTCAGTGTGCCGCAGTGGTGAAAAAGGCAAACCCTATGTTAGGGGTTATTAGAAAAGGGACTGAGAATAAAACAGCCGATACTGCAATGCCCCTGTAAAGATCTATGGTGCAGCCTCATTTGGAATACTGTGTACAGTTCTGGTCCCCGTATCTCCAAAAGGGCATTGCAGAGCTGGAAAAAGTACAGAGGAGGGCAACCAAGATGATGAGGTTGGAGCACCTTTCCTATGAGGAAAGGCTGAAGAGTCTGGGGGAACATAAACAGAGGTTTATAAAATTAAGGGGGACAACTAAAGGGTTTTTTGGAGACAACTAAAGGGTTTTTTGTTGTTCAGTCGCACAGTCAAGTCAGACTCTCCGCGACCCCATGGACCAGATCACGCCAGGCCTTCCTGTCTTCTGCCGTCCTCTGAAGTTTGCTCAATTTCATGTTCGTTGCATCTATGACACTGTCTAATAATCTCATCCTTTGCCATCCCCGTCTTCTTTGACCTTCAATCTTTCCCAGCATCAGGATCTTCTCCAGTGAGTGCTCCCTTCTCATTTGGTGGCCAAAGTATTTGAGCTTCATCTTCAGTATCTGGCCTTCCAGGGAACAGTCAGGGTTGATTTCTTTTAGGATTGACTGATTTGATCTCCTTGCAGTCCAAGGGACTCTCAAGAGTCTTCTCCAGCACCATAGTTCAAAAGAATCTATTCTTCGGCGCTCGGCCTTCCTTATACTACAACTCTCGCAGCCATACATGACTACTGGGAATACCATTGCTTTGACCATGCGGACTTTTGTTGGCAGGGTGATGTCTCTACTTTTTATCATGCTGTTTAGGTTCGCCTTCGCTTTCCTCCCAAGGAGCAGGCGTCTTTTAATTTCATGGCTGCAGTCACAGTCTGCGGTGATCTGGGATCCCAGGAACGTGAAGTCTGTCACTACTTTCACGACTTCCCCTTCTATTTGCCAAGGAGTGATGGGGCTGGATGCCATGATCTTAGTTTTTTTGATGTTGAGCTTCAAGCCAACGTTTGCGCTCTCCTCTTTTACCCTGAGTAAGAGGCTCTTTAGGTCCTCTTCACTTTCTGCCATTAGAGTGGTATCGTCTGCATATCTAAGGTTGTTGATTTTTTTCTACTAAAGGGTTAGAGGTTTATAAAATTATGCAAGGGGGGAGAATGATGACAGAAATTTGTCTTCCTCTCTCAAAAATATTAGAGCGTGAGTGTATCCAATAAAACTGATGGGCCGTAGGTTCTGGATAGACAAGAGGAAATACTAATTTACACAGAGTGATTAAAATGTAGAATTCGTTGCTCGAGGATATAGTGACGACCACAGGAATAAACAGCTTTAAAAGGGGATTAGATGGATTCATGGAGGATGTCTATCAATTACTACTACTAGCTGAGAGGAACCTCCACATTCAGAGGCACTAATCCTCAGAATCCCAGAGCAGGGGAAGGTTTCGGTCTCTATTGATATTAGTATTTCTCTCCTGAGTGCAAATTTCAGTGTTTGAAGGCTAGATGCTCAAGACTGTCTAAGACATTCCAGATACAGCCCTCCTATTTTTGTAGTCAGTCCTTGTGGATGAAAGAATACAGCTACCCACTGTAATTGGGAAAGTAAGATCTCTGACCATAGTAAGTTGTGCAGAAGAAGGGATTGCAGTTGGCCTGTTTCACAGGAGAAGCTGGAGGTGTTTTGCTTATGTGGCTACACTACTTGAGTATACTACCCAGGCAGCCAAATACAGGAAACAAGCAGCACTGGTTGTACAGTATATGAGTGCACTTTGCAGTTGCCGTTGGATGCTCTGTGATTATGAATACACATGTGCAAACAAGCCCCGTGTCTTCTCAAATGCCTCATGTGGTTATCTTGGCAGCTTTCTGTGCAAGGGGTGGAGGCTTTCCCCTGAGCTGCTGAATGCTCACCGAAAGCCCTTTGAGCTTGTCAGGTGCCATTGGGGCTTCCCAAGGCCTGCAAGTTGAGAAGTGCCTTTGATTGTGAGCACGCTGTTCTTGCCCAAGCTCTGCCTTGGAGCGGTGAGGAAAGTGGCTTAGCAGAGGAGTTGCTGCATACTCTTCTCCCCATCCCATATCCTGTTTCACAGCAGCTTATTCTGACTCAGCTCCTCTCCACCTTTGGCTGTCACCAAGGGGAAGGGGCCTGAGGCTGCGATCCAGGAACAAGTCAAACCAAAGCAGGCTAAAGGGTTCGATTTTACTGCAGGCATGTTGGGTTAGAGAGGCACGAAGAGAACACACATGAGTAAATTGAACTCTGTGCCCCAGATGTCATTTCAGCCACTCATTGATTCACCTGTCCTTGAGCCAACATGGGAAACATGGAGGTGCAGGGAGAGAGTCCAAGAAGGGAAGGCAGATCCTGGGTGCGCTTCAGTTGCCTTTTTCTCCAGGCATGATGCTTTCAGTAGAGAAACCTGTCACTGTTTCTAGAAGATGCACCCCTTGGGGGAGTTCTGTGGCTGGGAGTCCAGCCCAGCGCAAGGCTTCAGCAAGGTGCAGGAATAGGGAACATAAACTGTTCCCACTTGTTTCAGAACTGCCAGCAGCTGTTGCATTTTTGCAAATCCAGCAGTTAGCTTAAGTTGGCAAACAAGGACAAACTGTTTGCTAAGTTTGCAGGGAATGTTCTTGGTGGGCCAGTGCCCTGGTGGACTGCCGGTAGCCAGAAGCAAGCAAGGCCAAACTCCAGTAGCTGTGCCTGTGCCAGAGGTACCACCCAGCCTGGCTTGCTCCCGTGCCATTTTAACCTACCAGTCTGCCTCTGTTGGACCAGACAGAGCAAGTTGCCTTTCATCCTTTGTCTTCTGGTTTTCTTCCAGTGTGTGTCAAGGTCACTTCCCATCCAAAGGTATGTTTTCCACTGGATACAAGTTTGACACTGCCTACCATTTTTTTTCACCACACTAGAACTGGAGCTGTTGCAGGGAAAGTAGTATTTATCTGTCATGACCCCAGGGGGTCGTCACCTTCCGCAGCTACCACTCTGGACTTCAGGTCCCTTGAGAAGGCCCAGGGTACCCTCCCAAGCCCATCCAACCTGTCCCCTTTTAAGCCAAGAACATAGGCGTGATGACCAGGCAGAGAACAATTAAACAAATGGTTTATTAACACAGTACTGGGGCAAGGAAAACAAGACAAGGTGCTTTAAAATATATAACAGTGTTTAAAGGAAAAATAAACGAATCTAACGTGACTACCTAGTTCACTTAACTAGTTACTACTTCAAGGCCCACAGCCCTCTTATACCAGGACTCCTGCCGGGATCTTTCTCCTCAGCCCAGACTGTCCCCTCTGTGAGACAAGACCACAGAGGAGCAAAAGAACACCGTTTTTCACAGTTAAGTCAGAATCTCCTCACAGAATCTCTGGAAACTGATTGGCTACAGTCCTGCACAGATCATGACAATATCAATACACATGGGAATCAACTTTGGGTTGCTACCAGTGGTGACATAATTGTGGCATAAACGTTGGTGGGTAGTAGCTATGAGATGCAACCCCAATGGGAGATAACAGTAGTAGTGGAAGTGTCAGAAAATGGCTGCAACAGGGAGAAGATAGAGGCCTAGTTAGAAAACATCCCTTGTGTGAAAGGCAGGAAAGTGCGGTAGTGTGGATAGTGTTAAGCCTGCAGGTCCAAATCCCAGTCAGCCACTCAAAGAGTGACTTGGGCATTGTTTGATTATTACCTAGAGTGGATGTTGCACACATGCAGAGGAGCTACACAGGCAGTTGGTACTTTGTGTGCACTTGTGCTACACAAGCATCACCAATGCACAAATCAATGTGTAAGCAATGTACTGAACTGTGTATTCAACACTTAATA